CCTCCAGACCCTCCCCCTCCAAACCCTCCCCCTTCAGGCCCTCCCCCTCCAGGCCATCCTCCTGAACCCTGTTCATGTTGATGTTCCTGTTGTCTTCTCCGATAATATTGTATAGCTGTCACAACTAACGCCCCTATCACCCCTACTGCAACTACGACGATCTTGCCCCACGCCATTGTTCACCTCAGCATTTGATCAAAATGTTAGCCAACAGTCCTCACCTATCTGCAGAGGAATACTATTAGTTTGTCAACGGTAGAGCCCCTGTGGATATGTTGGCCGTGTTTCAAATGCGTTCACGTCGATCGCGTTTCGGATCCTTATGACGCTTCAGGTAAAACACTGTAGTATGGTATATACAGTGACCTCCAAACGATTCAATATAACTATAGCAGGGTTATAAACTTAATTTATTTAACAACGACTATGAAACAATATATTTCAATTCATACTATCTCATTCACCCATGCAGACACATCTAAACTCTTCAAATGCTTGGAATAGCTCATTATGAAATTTCAGGGGTGAATGAGTTAAACACTCATGTTGGCCAGGATGTTAGCGCGCATGGGGTCTTAATGTGGGGAGAAACCGGAGTAACCAGGCCGTTGACCGCATACCCTTTGATGTCTTATCGGGGAATTGCACCCCGGCCGCCTTAGTGAAAGACAAGTGTGCTACCCACTGCGCCACCCGACTACTCTTTACAACAAGTAGCTCCATTGGTCACAGTGATAGTATAATGATGACGTCAAGGGCTCATATCCTGGTCAGGCCCAGCTGGATTTTTATACTCGTTACATTGTTCCTTTTTCATTTTTTTCTTCTTTTTTTCAGGATTTTTTCCTGTTTTTGTATGGTATTTATGATCTATTTGAATGACACAGCTTTGCTAGCTGTGTCATTCAAATAGATCACAAATACCATACAAAAACAGTTCAATGCTTAAATATAAACTTTTAGTTCACAGTGTTATATACACTTTAAGTTAACAGGGTTGTATTAACGTTTAGTTCATATTTACCTATATCCACTTTGGTATGTTTACCTATTTGAATATCAAACAATAAACAATCGCCAAAGTTAATCTCTCCGAACGTAATTTAAAACATTGTTAGATTATATAAACACATTTGATACAGGTTTAAGTTTGTGACATGTTCCTTATATATCGTCATGTTTTTTTTCGTTGAAACGAAACCTTTTAAGGCCTCTATTGCCACTATGAAAATCTTAAGCCACGCCATTTTACCCGAGATATGCATGGTCTAACAGGACGCATGCTTGTAATAATAAGACCACACTTACCTGCCTATATATTTAATTATTTTACACAGTCTTTTGTCCGTATTTGGTATACACGTATACGTTTTTTGAAGGCAAAGCGGTTGTGTATATTTTTGGTCAGGTTTTTGCACAGGTATCTTGAGATAATACACTTTGCAAAACACTCAATCGGTTCGTGTTCAAACACAAATGACAAACATGTATTTGCAATGGAAGATGTATTCAAGCTTGTGTTTTGGTTGTTTAAAGTACTGTTGCCCTACCAGTTTGCAAAATTAATACATTATAAACACGGTGAAGAGTATAAAGGTTTTTAATATAAGAACACCGTATAAGGTTATCGACGATATTACACCTGTGATTACATGTATACATTGGTTTCATTGGTGTCGCCTGTCATAATCTGTCATTGTGATTCATTTGCATAATGTAGCCTATACGTGTTTAATTTTGGAGTATATATATCACGGTTATTTCGATCAGAGCTACTTCGCAGGGGTTATCGCCATAGTGTCAGGTAACATATTGCACTCACGAGAATACTTTTGTGCTTGGGTGATGTAATATATTTAATATGTGTTTAACTAAAATAAAGTCAAATGTGTAGTTATATATATTCATTATTCCGCAGTTTAAGGATAAGTGTGTCTTTTTTTCATCTCGGTATATTCATGGTATTTATATTCGCTGGATATCATTTTCATGCTCTCTTTGATGATCACGGAAACCGTCAAACTATATCCCTTGCGAAAATAACAGACCTTACGGTATGTTTATTGAAAGAAGCTTGTATACCTGAAAATTTGCCAACATGGTATGACGTCAATATGATATGACGTCAGATGGTATGACGTAAGATGAACCTTAATGGCTACACTCATTTCTATTGAGTAGTGGCAGGGTTAATTATTCACACACATAGTACATGAGAAACATGTGAAATTAAGCTAAATTTAATGAAGGGTTTTATACACTTCCCCTGCTGTTTCGACAATTTGCCCGTACGGCCTAAAGTAATAAAACAATTTGAATTTGAGCTGTGTGATGCAGTGTAATTCATTTTTGTATACTGTATCAATTTGAAAAACACACAGCTGACCTTCCTGTTCAATGTATGTATTGCTAATTCTAAAACCACGTTGCTACCATTCTATGAGGGAATATTCAAGAAAGTGCCTTAAAGCGTATCAACTGTCTAAATGTTATAGGTGCAATAAGTTCATCTTTCAAGATACAAGGTGGAAATTTCAATTTATAGTTTACAAACATAGCATATTTATTAAATTAAATTTAACTAGTGTTCACCAACTTGTTGTTATTCAGATAATCAAGGAGGTTTATGCACCTTACTTTCTGTTTCGACAGTAGTGAAGAATAATTTAAATGCCCATCTTTTTATCCCCCAGAATTAACCGATAAGTGTAAGACAAATGTAGAGTGCAGTAAAATTCACGTTTGACATACTGTAAATATTAGTAGATTGTAGAGTTAAATATATGTTATTATCTTTTTTTTTTATCTGTTAGCTACTTCAATACTCACAGATCAACAGATTATCAAAAGTTAACTTAATTTTCCTTATGGAACGTTCACAGTGACATCCATTTTAAATATGACTACCTATCAAAACATAATGCAGCCAGTTTTTTGTTTTGCATTTGAATTGCGGTATACGGTTCAGAATTAAAACCTTAACTAGCCCGATAACAATCAAACATGTAGTTTAAATTTTGGCAGTGATAAGGATCTTTAATAAGGGTATCAATTACATGTGTTGTTCAATTTAAAAAAAGAATGATAATTCATTACATTCAGATATAACAAAATAATTTGGAAAAAAACCCACTTGTTAAAGAAATTGACTCCTAACGTTTTTCTTAACTTGTAAATCGGACAGTGTTGTAGATTTTCAACTTCGGTTTGTATAAACAAAGTAAAGGCATTGGGACAAGTAATTTCAAAAGTGTAGACAATACAAAATGAATAGCACATACATGATTATACTTAAATAAGCCGGATTACATCAACACGGCTTAAATACAGAAAAAGGTCAGAATGGTCACTGGAATACCAACGTCAATACATTATGAGTCAGTAATTTGGCAGACATTTGCAATTCAAAAACAGTCCATGTAATTTATTAAGAAAATGATTGAACGATAATCAAAAGTGTGTACCTCTTGGGTACTGCAAAACGTCCGTATAAAGCACTTTGATGGCAACACATGAGTAAGTCACAAAATGGCAAAACAAACTTAACTACAACATTGTCATGTGACGATTTGCGATTTCTCATTAACATAACTCGTAAAGGGCTTTGCATTGTTTGGGCCCTTTTTAGCCAACAAATTGACCAAAATTCCAAAACTTTAGTTGAACTTTTTAAAATATATATATTTTCTAATGTGGTATTCTTCTCTAAAACAACTATGAAATCAAACCAAATCAATCAAATTTTCCGGGGGAAAGGAAAGAATATTCAGTTTAATTTGTTTTGAACACATGCATAAATATAACAATACTAATGGGTAACCCGAGATAACCTAAGTGAAAATTTCAACTGATTACCATGACAACCCCAATTGAATGAACAACGAACAAATAATCATTTTGTGATAACATCGGGGAAAAAAATAAAAATGTTTTTTGAAATTTCAATGAAAAGTATAAAATTTTCATTGATTTTCGGCAAAAATCATATATAGTCCTTCTATCAGACACGTTACACATGAATCGCCTGAAAACAAATGGAAAAAGGAAAGCAAGACAAAATTAAAAAGACAAACAAAAAAAACCCAAAACATTTTAACTGTCCAAACCTATCTATATAAAACGTCCCCTATATAATTGCCTATTCATTTACGGTCTGAATATTATACAACAACAAATTAAATGTATTTAAAATAAAATTATTTGATGATTACCAATGAAGCAAATGTTTCATCACACATATATCTTATATTGAATTGTATGCTCTATTTGGTTCTTTTGTGTAAGGTAAATAAGTATCGATAAAGAAAGCGCACACATAACCAATTATACTGTTCACCTTTCTCGTTCAGATAAATTAAACACAATGTGTCTAACAAAGAATCGGTGAACGTCGAAATGCCATATTGTCTGTACAGTTGTCTTCCCGTCGTTATAAATGACACATCTACACTTTTGGTATGCGCAATAGAAGAGCCATTGTGAAAGTCAAAATAGGCTCACATTATAAACATTTTATAGATTATCCGATTGTATTAAAGACAATTACACAGAGAAGAACGTCAGTATCTCTTTCGTAGTTACACAACGTAGTTGATGCTGAATTACACTGTGTAGATAGGTTAACATATTACTAAGTAAAAGGCACTGTTCATCAACAGAGAGATATGCACAGGTATAGACTCCAAAAATCCGCCTAATGATCCTTTGTTTTTAATGGTAATTTTTCGTAAAATAGTTATCTTTGTATGATTCATATTCCTGTTAACATCCTTGTGTTTAAAACATTTATTTATTGCGCAGCCACACTAAATTAAGCCATTTCAACGACTTTCAGTATCCTACTGTCCGTCGTTACATTTTC